GAGCCCTCTCCTATTGAATGTGCCCCTAACTTTACTCCAACAAGGATTTCTTATTATATGCATGTATGTGTATTTCGTAATGATAAAGCACTTGTATGTCATATTTGACAGGAGGGCTTTTTTCATCCCAAGTTTAAAACACTGCTGGGAAATAATTAGCGCTACTAGTGTCAAAAACAATGGGGACCCATCAGAAAAGACAGTCTCAGAAACTCTTGGATCTTAATTGAACAATTACCTCTTATGCCTCTGAATAGTTCATTATTACATGCCCTGTTATTATTAGCTGTTATTATTGTTTCAGATGAATGCTGGGGATTTTCTAAAAATCAAAAGCCATTTTCAGCCATACTGTTCATCTCCCCTGAACGCACGCTTCTGACATTCCTGATGTGGTAGTCGGCAGTTAGTCTCTCCACCTCACTCACTCAGTGTATTCTGATCACTTCGGTTGTTTGGACGGGGCAGTTAAATATTCCAGGCCTCTGTTTGTACTGTTATTCATCTTCGACTCCCTAGTGAAAACATTTGCATGAGAATCAAGCACTCCCTACCTTTTATTTTTTAGGGGTCCAAAATCACTGGAGACAGACTGTAGAGACCGAAGCAAAAGGAGGCAGTAGTGATGGAACCAGAAAACAGGAGAGAAGGATGGTGGAGACCGAAGCCTCTGAGATGGAGGGTGGGAGGCTGGGTCAGGAGAGCCAGGGCTGTGAGTCTTGTGTTCTCGGAGGAATCACAAAAAGAGGGAAGCAAATAACACAGATAAGACACCTACCATGTGTTAGGCATTCATATCTCAGGAACCATGTGTGGAGCTTATGGACTGGTGCTGATGCCTCCGCAGAAATCCTATCCCCTCTTCCTTATTCATGACACCGCATGTTCTTTAGAATTTCCCACTTTAGCTCAGGAAACCACTGTGACTCTATTTCTCTTACTAGATATTGGTAGAGGAAGAGCCACGTGAACCAGTTCTGACCCGTTGAAACAAGAGGGCAAGTCTAAAGGAAGGGGAAGACTGGGAAAAGAAGAGAAATATAGGAAGATACTGTCTTCTTTGTTGGACACTGTCAGGTCTGGATGTGATGCCTGGAATGGCAGCAGCCATTTTGTGACCATGAAAGGGTTTGGTGGAACAGAAAATAAAAAGGACATGGATCCTCGACGATGCCATCAAGCAGCTGAATTAACCAACCCTACGGCCACTCTACCTTAGGGCTTCTTATGATTGTTTTAGGTCATAAATTTTATTTCTCATTTAAACCAGTGAGTCAGGGTTTCCTATAACTCTGTCCAACTCATGCAGATACAATAACAAATTTTCATGCCCACTTGAAGAAAGTGAGACCCAGTGAAGTAAACGCCCTTACCTAAGGACACACAGCCTTGATGTGGTGGAGCCAGGATTTTAACACTCTGTCTTAGAAGGAGAAACTTTCTGGAGGGTGGAGGGTGGCAGGACTTTTTTTTTTTTTTAACTGAGCATTTTTTGGCATTTCCAAAGCCAAACAGAAACAGGCTCTAATGGCTTCTAACAGGTGAGGACGGGAGAGGTTGGGTGGAGCTGAGACTCAAATCCAGGTTCCCAGACCCCAGCTCAGAGTTTTTTCAGCACCTCATGGTGCTCAGTGACATCAGAGAGTCCCCCTTGTGCTTAGCCTTCACCATTTGGGATGCCCCCCCGCTGTATCCCACAGATTTGTCTTTGGCCTGCTCAGGGTGGGGTTGCTGATCCTGGAGACTGACCACCAGGGGCCACTGTAGTCACATCCAGGGGCTGCCTCAGAGGCCTGAGGGAAACTTGAATCCAGGGGACCTGGTCCAGAAGAGCCCCTAGCTGAGCTCCTCTGTAGGTGTGCCCTGAGGCTGTAAGACTCAGGAAATCCCCTCCCCACCCCTTCCCAAGGAGAGGAGGCAGCCCAGATCCATCTCTGGAGATTCTAGGACCTAGTTGCTGTGTGCCCTCAAACAAGTTGCTTCCCCTCTCTGAACCTCACTTTTCTTCTCAAATGAGGGCTCCCTCTCTCTCCCTGGGGGTCTTCCCCCTCCTTTAGGCCTAGTTTGATGGCAGATGAAGACCATTTAGGATGTGGTGACCCTAGAATTGAAGCCCAGTGATTCCAGGTCAGGGTTGGATTTCAGTCCTTTCTCTGCTACAAACTTATTATGAGTCTTCGTGTTGCAATTGGGGAAACTGAGTAAGTCTCTCTCCTCTCTGGCCCTCAGTTTCCCCATCTGAAACACAAGAAGTAGGACTCAGTATTTTCTGAAGTCTGGTTTGTCCCTTGGGATGTTAATAGAAACAAAAACTTAGATGATCAAAAATAAATTAGGGAAATGCTATGTTAAAGTTGAAAGGGTATCTCGCCTGCAGGACTTTTCAGAGCCTTTAAAATGCTAAGGTGATTTGTGCCACTCCAAGAGGGAGGGGGGATCTGAGTCTGTTTCTCAAACTTGTTTGACCTGGAACCCCACTTTCCAAGGTGAAAATCAGCTGTACCAGGTGGTGACAGAAATAACACACCTGTTTTGGGGCATCTTCTCCAGAATAGGCTCTGTGCTGCCTGGAGAATCTGACCACCCTTCTCCTATGTTCAACCCCCGTGGCACGTGCTTTGTAATGTTAGCCTCACTTTACAGTTCAGAAATAGGCATCTCAAGGTTGGCAGTCATTTGCCAGAGGCCACATGCTGCTGAGGGATAGCGTCAGACTAGAACTAATAGGTCCCACTGCCTTTGGGGAGACCCTCTCGCGGGGCTCATTTGCTGTCATCCTGATCACACATCACCTGGTACCATCCCAATCCTTCAGGTGCCACTACCCCGTTTGACAGCGAAGGGATTGAGGCTCAAGAGAGGCCACACGAGTCACTCAGCATCACACATAAAATCTATGGGGTACTACTGCCAGTTTTCCTTCTTCCTCCCCTCCTGACACTGTCTGGAGAGCTGGTGATGGTGGTAATTTAAACAGAGAATTTTTTGTCCACCGGGCTCACCCACTTCACCAGCCAGGTTCCACCTTCCAGCCGCCAGGGACAGCGCGGGGGCTGTTGGAGACGCCTAGGGTCTTTTAAAAGGGCCAAGAGGCGCAGGCGCAGCGCAGCGCAGCGGAACCGAGGCGCACGTGAAACGTATGCGCGCGCAGTGTCCTGGCTGCAGCTGGGAGCTGAGCTTGAGTCGCTTTCCAGGCAAGTTAGGAGTCAAACGCGTCTCAGCTTCCCCTTCCCAGAAATGGGTTCTCTAAAGGCTGGATATGAGTCGAGAAAACACGGAGCCACCCTCGAAAGGTCAGTGTCCCTCTAGCGGTCTTACACACAAATACTTGCGGAAGCCCACATGCCCCCCTGGGGCAGCACCGATGTCTCTGTAAGACGTGCGACCTTCTAACAGTTGCTGTGATGGTAGTGGTAATAGTAGCCTAAAAGCCAAGGTTATGTGCCGGCCACACGTGGCTACCATACTGGACAGCTCAGCTCTAAGGGGTGTGAGCCCAAGGCAGCTACATGGAAAGGTGGGGGAAACCCTAGTGTCCCAGGAGAGACTTAGAGACAGAGGAAGGATTGCAGCTGGGGGTGGGGACCTGAGTGGGATGGCATTCTCCCCTCTGCTCCTTCTCCCAGCATGAAGTCCTGGCAGCCATGGATATGGGCCCCAAGGCTGGACCAAGGTTCTGGAGTCAGGCCATATTTGGGGTTTGCAGGTGGTTTTATGTTCTGTGCATAGTGTGGCGGTTAAGAGCTCAAACTCTAAATCGGAAGGCCCGTGTCCTTTCTATCCCAGCTGCTTCTCTGTTCTCCGTGGCTTTGGGGAAATGATTGCTTTTCTCAGTCCCCACTAGCCTCATCTGTGACATGGGAAGGTGCAAGTGAACAGGTGCAAGAACTAAATACAGCAGGTCCTCAAATAACTTCATTTCGTTCAACGTTTCATTATAACATGGATGAGATGCCGTGGGAACTGTTTATGTTAATTAGCCTATGGCGAAATTGGTTTCCTCATACATCGTTTTGCGTAAAGTTGCAGAACCTATCGATGATACTGAGGACTTGCTGTACTGTTCTGTGCCGAACCTGGTGGCAATCTACCTGCAGTAACTGTGGGCTGTTGGCAATTGTAGCAGTGATAGTAACATTCTCGTCACCTGTGCTGCCCCTCCAACGTTGTAATCACAGGTGATTGTATAAAGGGCAGGGGTGCCAAGATGCTGGAGGGCCCTTTGGGATCTGCTAGCTCAGCTCCCAGGGAGAAGGAACACTGCCAGGGCACCCAAGGAGGCTGTGCCAGGACAGGGTTAGAACCCCAGACTGGCTGTGCCACATGCCCAAGCTTGTCCTGCACGCGCAGACCTGAGCAGCTGAGGAGGTTTTCAGTCTCATGTCTGTACCCCTCTGTATGCCCCAGAGTGAGCAAGCCTGGCGGTGGGCCCAGGACATGGGGACCCAGGTTACCCCGACACCATGTTGGTGGTCCCAGGGGTGGTCCCGGGGATGGAATGGCTCAGAGCCACTCACAGTAGCAATGGCAGGATTTGAACCCATGACTAGCTCACTCCAGAAGCTGGGCCTGCTGGGTTGGCCTGCCTCCAGGGGCCGCCCCGGGTGCTGTGATGCCCCCAGGTGGGCTTCAGCCACGTCTGAGGGTGGAGGCTGGGGGTGAGCATGGCGTGTCTGGAGGCAGCCTCACACCGCACTGTTCAGGGAAGCTGAGGGCCGGGCTTCAGTTCCATCTCAGCTGCTCTGCGTACTTGACCAAGTGGCTGACATGTGAACAAGGCAAATGACAGTGTCCACCTCAGAAGATCTGGAAGACTAAATGGAACTCCGAATGCAAAGAGGCCCGGCACTGCAGGTGCCAGGAGGCGCCAGGGGGCACCTGGCCTGCCTCCTCGGGGCTCTAAGCCGGTCAGCAGGGGAGGAGATAGCTGGTTTTACTCCTAAGGGGAGGAAAAAAGCACAAAACGAGCCACAAAACAATCCCACAGCTGAGACACCATCTGTGTTTTCCTTTTTTTTCTTTCTCTTCCTTTTTAAAACAATATAGTGCAGACCCGCACTTCTCACAGTAGAATATAATGGTCAATTTTAGTATAAAAAAAAAACATTCTCAGAGATTTGTAAATGCACTTAGTGCTTGAACAGGCCTTGGAGAGAGATACAGTACCGCTTCCGGAATGCCAGAGGGGCCAGGGCTGGGGGAGGTTGGGCTCTGGGGACTCAGTGGGGGGACCCCTGCCTGCCTTCCCGTGCTCGATGGTACGGGGCAGGCCTTGGGAGGGTAGCCGGCAGGAAAGGAGTTGCATTGGCTCTCCCAAGTAAAACCAGTAGGTTGCCCCCTCGCTGGTCCTAGGAGAACCCCCGAAGAGGGCAGGGTAGGGTCCCTCCGATGGGGTCTAAGATGGCAGGCCCGTTGTTAGCCCCTGTGGTACCTTTGTGCGAATAGGGAAATGGCACCCCTTCCTCGAGATTCAGAAAATTGCTGTAATAAATATACAAGTCTAGGATGCAAGTGGTGTCTCCTTGGACGAGGTGCCCTTGTGCGGTGCACAGCCTATACAGCTGTGCCCAGCAGCCCTGTAAGATTTACTGGAGAGAAAGGGGAAGCTGGGTAGTCCAGGGTTTGGAGAATGGGGATGGGGGTGCGATTTTTCTATGTTGGGAAGGAACGCGGGAAGGGGAAGGAGAGGAGAAAGGAGCAGCGAGACCGGTAGTCCCTGGAACCTCTGTTAGAGTGAGGTTCTGGTCCTCCCTGGATTGGCCAGTGGAGGACGCTGTGAGCCCAGGGACTTCCTATAGGCTCCTTCTCTTCCTTTTCCAGGTGACTGGGGAGCTTGTGGTGGGGAGGAGCTATCGGACCCCTGAGGGCTGCTTTGATCCCACTCTGACTCCAGACCATCACAGTTCCTCCTGCATCCCAACCCAGCCTGAGCTCCTCTCCTGGGAGGGCCAGAAGGAACCACTCCTATTTTTAGTGGTTTCTCTCTCCCTGCCTCTGCCAGTGTGGATGGAGGAAGGCAAGGACATCAGCAGCTGCCCTGGAGCCCTCCCCATGTCCTGGGGCAGTTGATGGGGGAGGGGCCTTTGTGAGCACGGTCACCCTGCCAAATTCCAACAGGCATGGCAGCAGCCAGCCTGGCTTCCCTGTGGGTATCAATGGGCACAGGGTGGGGCTAGGTGGCCCTGCACGCTGCCCACTCTGCTCTGTGGCCTGCCTTCCCCCATCGGTGCCCTGTCCATCTGTCTCTGTGTCCACCAGGTGGGCCTTATCTGTAGACAGGCAGGCGGATGTGGGCGTGCTGGTGGTCAAGCAGCCGGGGCACTGCCACTGTCTCATAGCCCTTGCCCAGCATCTGCTCTTTGATGCAGGGCGGCCGGATATCATTGATGAGATACTCCAGCGACTGCAGGCTGCTGCTGAGCACAGCCGTGTTGCACATGCTCTTGCTGGGCAGGCCTGAGAGGGCCTCCGCGGGGGGCCCTGCCAGCTCCCTGGCTACCCCGGGCCCCAGCTCGGTGACTGCCACTGCTGCTGGGTTGTAGCAATCACTGGTGGGGGTCACCAACACGCTGTTCCAGGGGGCGGTGAAGTACTGACCCGCGGGGAAGCTGGTGGGCAGCCCCACGCCACAGTTGAGGGGCGACCCACTGGCCCGCTCATATGCCCGCCCCCCGCAAGCCTCGGGGGACTTGCTGGCTACTGTGCCGCCGCTGTAGGCTCTCAGTGGCTGGGGTGGTGGTGGGGGTGGCTTCTGTGGCCACAGCAGGTAATCCAGGCCGCTGTCCACATACCCTGCAGGCTTGGTGGCCCCAGACAATGTCAAGGCCGCTGTGCTTCCCTGGCCCAGCTCGGCGCCTTTTCGGCAATCGGGCAGGCCCGCAGCGGCCGAGTAGGCCATGCTGGGGAAGCTGGGCACTGGGCCATGCTTGGCCGGGCTGGGGTGGGACACAGCCACGCCTTGGCAGGCAGTAGGTGCGGCGCCTGGGGCCTGGCACTGCTGGTTGAGCTGGTAGAGGATGCTGTGGATGGAGGGCAGGTTGGAAGGCGGCAGGGCCAGGCCGCGGCCAGGCAGGGGGATGACAGAGGAGGCGGTGGCAGCGGCCGTGGGGAGGCCAGGCGGTGGGGCAGGCGCCTCAGGTGGCTTGGGGTAGGCCAAGGGCCCCAGGGTGCTGGGTGCTGGGTAGGGCGCAATGCCCACCTGCACGGCAGCTGGCGACAGCTTGGTCCGCTTGCCTTCGGCGCTCTTAAGCACGCTTTTGGCGGGCCCAGCGGGTGCGACCACACTGGAGGAGGAGACGGCGGCCTTGACGATGGCCAACAGGCCCTGGTAGCCAGCAGCATGCTGCGGGTAGGGGCTGTAGCGCTGGCCGCTGGTATCATAGCCATTGACAGTGCGGCTGAGGTGCTTGTGCTGGGGCACGCGAATGGTGGTGGGGAAGATCTTGATGGAGAGTGGGCTGTTGGCTACCTTCTCAGCATAGGCATCCAGCTCGGCTGGGCTTGGGTAGCGGGAGGAATGCATGGAGCTGGCCACCGTCTCGCCTGTGGGGACAAGTGAGGAGAGGAAAGCACAGGTGAGCACCAACCTGGTGACATGGGGAGTCCCGGAGCCACACCCTCTGCTGCTCCCCAGAAACAGTCTTGGAGCTAGCTGTGGGGCTGCCCTTCCCTTGCTCATTTCTCCATTTATTCACTTGCTCCTTCATTCACTCCTCAATTTTTAAGATTTGGATCAAAGTGTAAAGTATGTAAAGGAAACCACACGTATTAGCTTGCTGACCTTCCACAAACAGGACACACTCATATACCACCACCTGGGTTATGGGATAGGACACTGCCAGTCCCCTGATGGCCACTGTGCCACCTCCCAGTCCCTAATCACACCTATGTTAGCAGCTCTCCTGACTTCTAACTGCATGAACTAGTTGCAGTGAGATGGACTTGTGCGATGCACACACATTCGCCTCTATCACTGAAGGCTGTGTTGGAGGGCCATCCAGGTGGCTGTGGTTCGTTTTTCTCATTGCCGTGTGCTGTTCACGTGTGACTACATCGCAAGGTACTCATCCTTCCTCCTGTTGATGTTATGGCGTTTGGGTCGGTTCCAGTTTGGGGCTGATAAACGGTGTCCCTGCCCCCAGTGACTGCATTCAGTGGCTTGTTAGGAACATGCCCAGGAACAGAATTGCTGAGACATGAGAGGCAAATGCTCAGCTTTAGGAGAAAATGCATCAACAGTTTGCCAAAGACACTGCCAGGCTACATACCCAGCGGCAGAGCACAGGAGTACCTGGGGCTCCACACCCTGCAAGTGTCTGTCTTGGTGTCACGTGGTAGATGTTCATTCCTTCTACCCCTTCACTTTTCCTCTTGGTGCCTCATCTGCAAAATGGGATGGTTCACAGCACATTGCTCCGTGAGCAGAGCCCAGCATGGCCGGGCATGGGGAGAGCTGGTGTGAGTGGGAGCTGCTGCTGTCAGCTTTCATCTGGTGCTCACCTTCTCTTGTTCAGAAGGAAGGGCTTTGCCTCCCCCAACCACCTGTCCCTCCCTGAGTCTGCCTGTCATCTGCAAGGCCAGCGTGGTGGCTATTGCCTTTTCTGTGAGCTGTCAGCACGGGGCCAAAGAATGTACTTTGTGTGACAGGCTGACTGTCCCCACTGTCAGTGGGCACACTTGGCCCTTACCACAGGGGAAATAGGTCACTGGTGGGCAGACCCCTTTCTCCCATCCTAAGCTCCTCCCTGGTCCTGAGATATTCCTCAGTGCGACCCAGGACCCTCCATGGGGTGGGGTCTGCATGAGGCATCTAGAAAGACTGCCTGAGCTTTGGAGCTGTCTGACCTGGTTGTGGGGCTGCATGGCCCTGTGCAAATTGCTTGCCCGGCTAAGCCTTAGTTTCCCCACCTGTGTAATGGGGATAATGATCATGCAGGTCTGCAGAGGGGTGAGGCGCACAGTTGCTTGGTGATCGTGACCTCTCTAGGCCCTTAGGCAAGGAGGACCCTACAAGGTCTCCCAGGTACACTGCCTTCCTCCCTGCCCTGTGGGCATTCCGGGGCCCACCAGTGTCCCCAGGGAGACTTGGGAGGGGGGCTTCACTACTCTGAGCCTGTTTCATCATCTGCAAATTAGGAGTGATGCTACTGCTAACACTACCTCCCACTGTGGCTGTGAAGGTTTAACAAGTTATGTGTGGTGGAGCACATTAGCAGAAATGGGTGCTCTCCAAGTGTGAGTTCCTACCCTCCCCAGCCACCTGGGACGAGGGCCTTCCTGAGAGGAAGGGGCATGGGCTTGGGCACAGATGGGCATAACAGTGGGGCTGGGGCAGAATGCAGACACCATGTCCTATCTTTCCAGAGCCTCATCCATGACCCCTCATGGGCTCAAAGCCAATTTGATCAAAATACGTGCCATGATGGGAGGGCAGACAGCAAAGGGACTCAGGGAGGCCACACTCAGCCAGGGAGGGCTTCAGAAATGGCTTTTTGGAAGAAAGAGCAACCCAGTTGAGGCAGCGGTGAAAGGAGGGAGGAGGGAGGGAAACATATTTCAGGCAGAAGACACAGCATTGGCAAAGGTCCAGAGGCAGGGAAGCACGTCCAGGTAGGAACTGTAAGTAATTCAGAGAACAGAAACCCAGAGCAGGGTGCGGAAAAGACCGAGAGAGACAGCTCGGCAGATGTGCACGGGGCCAGAGCGGAAGGGCGTCGGGTGCCCTTCCCTGCAGGGCAGCGGTTCTAGTGGGCCACCCCGTCCCCCAGGGCACACTGGCAATGTTTGGTTGTTGCAACTAGGGGAGCGTGTGCTACTAGTACCTAGTGGGCAGAGGCCAGGGATGCTACTAAACATCCTAGGTCGGGTGCCCTTCCCTGCAGGGCAGCGGTTCTCAGTGGGCCACCCCGTCCCCCAGGGCACACTGGCGATGTTTGGTTGTTGCAACTAGGGGAGGGTGTGCTACTAGTACCTAGTGGGCAGAGGTCAGGGATGCTACTAAACATCCTACAATGCATAGCACAGCCCCCACCACCAAGAACTGTCCGGCCAGACTGTCAAGAGCGCTGTAGGCGAGAAGCCCCAAGACATCGGCAGTGAGGGAAGGTTGTAAGCAGGGGAGCGCAGGGCAGGCATTTGTGTAAGAAGGGTCTTTCTGATCCGCCCTGCAGTGCAGGGATGTGGTCTGACCTGGGCAGGGCAGCAGGGCGGGGAGAGGTGGGCAGCACCAAGCACCCTGAGGAGGCTGGAGCAGCGCCCCTCCGGCCCTCTGGCCTAACCTGGGCCGGGCAGGTAGAGCGGCCACAGGCCCTCATCCTGACCCTGCCTGGGGCAGCCCCCATCTAAGTGGCCTAAAATAAACTTAGTGTGGAGAATGGAAATGTCACTTTGGCCATCGGGGGAAATCTTTCTCCGAGATTGGATTTAAACTACATTATACAAGCAATTTCATGGGCACTTAGCACCGCTCAGAGAGTCCCGCAGAAAAGGGACCAGCTCTTCATTTACTGGCCATAAATCAGCAGCTGCTATAATGAGCACAAAAATGTCACTTTTATGCAATTTTACAGATGAACAAAACTGGTGAAATTAACTGTGGTAACCTACTATAGTCAGCAAAAGTGGCTGCCGGGGGAAAAAAAAATTATATCTGTATGTATTTTTGTTCCTCTTAAACTCTCTTCCCAAGCAAGTTTCTGCCATTGTGGTGTGAAAACTCATTTGTCCTCACCATTATACTTTCATTTGGAGTTTATCTTGAGTATCCAATGAGCCACCAACTGTGAAAATGATTAAATCTACAAAATCTATCTAATGGATGGAATAAATTAGGTGTTTAAAACCTTAAGAAGGAAAAAAAAAAGCAATGCCTGTTACTAGTTCCCATTCATGGAAAGAAGGCGCCTCTCTGGCCCCTGCCTGGTCAACAGGGCTCAGCAAGAGTGGGTTGGTCCCTCTGGCTTTTGTGGGAGCTGATAGTGGTGCCACTGTAGCACAGAGGCTGTCCTTGGGTGAGCACTTAGTATGTCCTACGCTCCGTGCCTATAGCTTTTCTTGGCCCCTCTTGTTTGGAGCACCTGAGAGGTGGGAGGTGGTTCCTATTTCACAGACGAGGAAGCAGACAAGTTGTGGCATTTGGCAAGCAGCCTCCAAGATCTGCCACGCCCCGCTCCCAGTGATTCTCACATCCAGGTATTCACGTTCTTGTGTAGTCCCCTCCCACTCCAAATGGGGCTGACCTGTACGACCTGTGACATGCTATGGAAGCGAAGGAGTGTGACTTCCAGGGCTAGGTCATGAAAGGCACTTCGGCGTCCTCCTCGCTCATTCTCTCTTGGCTGGCTTGCTCTGGGGGAAGCAGCTGTCATGTGAAGACATTGGAACAGCCCGGGGGACGGTCCACATGGGGACAAACAGGCCTCCTGCCAGTAGCCACGTGAGCCTTCTTGGAAGTGGGTCCTCCAGCCCCAGTTAAACTTTCAGGTGACTGCAGCCCCAACTAACATCTGACTGCAGCTCCGTGAGAGACTGGGTAGAACTGTCCATAGGAGCCAGTCCTGATTTCCTGATCCACAGAAACCATGAGAGGTACTACGTCATTATCGATGTTTTGAGTCACTAAGTTTTGGAGCAACTTGTTATTCAGCAATATGACTACTACAGGCCCCCATTTTACAGATGAGGAAATGGAAGCTCAGAGCTTCCTGAGGCCACACAAACAGTAAGGAGCAGAGGTGAGAACAGGACCTAGTCTGCTTTCCCAGTCGTCTTCACCCTCCTTTCCCACCCCTCCCTCTGCACCTCAAGGCAGGCCCCAGCGGAAGCCAAGAGACTCATGCGGCATCCCCTCTTCCATAGAATGAGGAGGAGGGTGATCTTGAGGGGGGACATAAAGTCAGCATGGAGGCTCAGAGAGGCAGGGGGTGTCCCATCAGAGGCCATGTGGCAGGCAGCTCTTACTCCTGCCCTAGGCTTCTGCCTTGCTTCTAGAGACTGCCAGCTGGTAGCCCTGAGCCGGTCTCACCGGGATGTGTGCTTGCTTGGGCCTCCTCAGTGCTCTTTGGTGTTTTGGATGTAAGAGCCTTTGGGTGGACTTGGAGGTCACCAGAGTCCCTGTCTCAAACCTGGCCTGGCTGTGGTGCTGCTGTGGCCCCTGCTTTATGCCTTGTTCCTAAAGAGTTTTCTCTGGAGCCACCCTGGGTGCCTCAAACGCAGCCTTTTCCACCAGAATACCATGGCCATGGCTTGGGGGTCCCTGGCAACTCGGGCATGCCTGGGCCCCCAACCCCAGCTTGGTGGAAGGTTCCAGACCCTCCCTCGGAGGTGGGCCCAGCCCCCAGTGTTCAGTGCCATTGGGCCACCTTGGTTTGGAGAATATATATATATATATATTGGAGAATATATATATGTACGTGTGTGTGTGTGTGTGTGTATATATATTGTAATTAAAGCTGAGGAGATGGATGAGGATACACCATAAGACACAGAAAAAGGCCTCACACGAGCCAGCTGAGCCTACTGTCTGGGGCAGGCTTCCAAGCAGT